TGATGTAAAGCTCTTTGGACTTCCTTCATGCTGAAATGTGCCATGGAAGCAAACTTGAACATGAAGGTTGAACTTTGAAAAGCAGAAGTGTAGCCTCCTGCACAACCAACAAGAATGTAGTAAGTAGTTTTCGGAATGATAAGTGAACAACAAAACACTTGTCTTTTCCAGCAGCCATTGTGCAAGCACATACAGCAGTAAAACCAACTGAGCACTTGGGTTGCTAAGTAACGGGATGGGCTTGGCACCACAGGTAACGGCACAGTAACCGTAGGTTGTGACTTAAAAATCGGGAGGATTTTGAAACAACAAAACATTAACTAAATTTTAAAAATGTCTGGGTGGTATTTAGGAGCAGTTTATACCCAAATTTTGCATAATAGTTTTCCTTTAGACTAGATGTTTTAGCCATAGAATGGGACTTACCCATTTTAAAAATAACTAAGATGTCCTTAACGTCTTTCCCTTATACCTTCATGTTGAATTATCCCTTAAAGTAACAACCAAATTATGTATTCAAATGTGAAATGTTTACTTAAATAACACAAATCACATCAGTATATGTTTACTTCGACATGCTCTGGAAAATGAAATGCTGAATTGAGCATAACTAACAAAACATTTACAGTTCAAAGAATGAACTAACTTGCAAAACAAATCAATTAAAGGTAGTATGTGAAATGAGAATATTAATAACTGCCACAATTAATAACAAATAGTTATAAGTCACCGTAACAAATTTGAAGATATTTTAACGCAATTCCTGAAATATTGTATGGATTTATGTATTGGCAAAATATTCCCCATAAATTTCAGCTATTTTTGAATGAGTTAAATATAGGTCAACTTTAAATTTCAGGTAGCTGCAAAGGTTCATTGTGTTCATAAAAGGCAACAAATCTTGGACATTTTTGGTGTTTCCAAGTATTGGTCACTTTGCCTCCTCCACATTCCAGAACTTTCCAGTTTTGGTAATTTAATTATTAATTTGTCAATGTTTTCTACTCCAGAAACTTTCCCCTATGTGCCAATTCAAAGCCACCAGGAAAAGGTTTCACCACTTCTCCTTCTCTCCTTCTGACAATTAGGGTGATGGATTGTTATTTTTAAAGAACATTTCCTTTGCATTTTTTATCACCTGTCAGAAACACACTTGGTGACTTAAAGGACATCACTTTTAATTTAAATCTGCCTGGGGTGTGAATAATCTCCTTCAGATGTTTCTCAGTCTGTTTGGTTCTGATTTTATATCTGTTTTATATGAAGTTGGTTTTATGTAAGTATTTCATGCAGTGTTCTTTGTAAAATTACTTAATACTGCAACACAACTTATCTTTCATGACTGCAGCAGTTTTTAATGATTCAGAGAAATGTCACATTAGTGCCTAGCCACATTACCAAAACAAATAAAACACTCTACGACGTTCGAGTTTGTGGGCTTTGTGCTTCAAATTGGGGGCTTTATGATTGGCTGCAGCTTGTAGTTCCAGTGCTTTCTGAATGTGCTTTCACTTTCCTCTACATATTGAAGCTCCATTCAGTCCGTTCACCTGATCAGGTTATTTTATCAAGTGCAGGTATTATTTTTCTATTCCCAAAGAAAAATGGGTCACGGTCAGGCTTTAGGGTAAATAGAATGGTAATGTGGGGAACTTGAAGATAATTGGCATAATATCCCCCTCTAACCGGATCTGAATATTAATGTGTTGAGCTTAGCCCTTGGCAGAGGAAGTTATTATCATTTGCAAAAGAATATTAATGAATAGTCTTTGTGTTTTCCCATGTTGATGGAACTACTGCTCTTTCAGACAGTTTGTGTCGGAGCTGATAGTACACCTTAATAGCCGCCCGCTACCGCTACTCCTCGCTTATTACACTTCAAAAGAGCCGTTGCCACGGTGAGGAGAAAACATAAAAAAGTGCTGCCCTGCACACAATGGAAAACAGCCGACGGCCTCTTGCAGTGGAAGGCATGTGGTCGTGTCATTCCTGTGATTCTCTGTGTGTTCCTTTGAACAGGAAGTGCAGCAGCAGCTGATAATTGAGACGAGGAATCTGAAGAAAACCAGAAATTTCTATCAAAAGCTGAAGAATCAACATGAGAGAAAAAACAAAGGTCTGTGCGCTCCATTGTTATAAATTATGAAGATGTCTTCTGGTGTTTCCAGTATGAATATAAATATGTTTCTATGCATGAATCCTGAAGGTCCTGAAAGCAAACTGATGCTCTCAAAACTCAAGTCACAGCTTGAAGAACTCAGATCCAAGGTGGCCTTTTTGGATTGTGTGAAGAAATATCTTGAGGTATTAGTCGATTCTAACATTTATTTTCTTTGTTTTCCCTAATTTATGTAGTATAGTATTTATATTGTATCTGCACAAGATTTCAGTAACTTATTAAGACGTCTTACTTTAAGTAATTAACACAAAATCACCTTTTAATGCATTCAACACTACCACACTCTACAATGGATTTTTTTAAACACGCCAAAATATTCTGTGGTATAATCATCTTAATTTTCTGACATGTTTGCTCACCTTGGCATGCTAAGTGCTTGGAGTGGCTTTGATGGGCCAATTTTTTTATTCTGATTAATTCAGCTAATAACTATTTGACATCTTGGAAAGCGAACAGACCATGACAGAATAAAATAAACAGTTTCCAAGTGGCATCACAGTAAAAGTTACTTATTCTCTTCTCATTCTGTAGCACACTGGTCATTTAAATATACAACATAAATTGTACACGTGTCATACATGTGTTTATGACGGATGTTTGACGAAATGGAAATATCTTTGAGTTTTTAAATGTACTTACATTCAGTAGCTTGAAAAAAGTTTTTGATTTTGTTGATGAGATTTTGTCTTTTGACAACCACAAAAATCTACGTATGTTATGTCACAATAATGCACTGTTGTCTAATCAATACATTTCCAAAAGTACTTTGTGTTGTGTAATAATCAAAAATGTTTGCTTATTATGCACAAACTGTCTTAAACTCAGGTTGGATTGTGAGCATCTGAGAAAACATTCTACGGGTATATCATAGAAAACGATGCATCATTTACACAACAATTATTCTTTGTGTTTTATATTAGAATACTTTGTAGTTTGTTTTTGCAATGTAAAAAATGTTAAAAGTCTCTTTGGGTGTGAAGATTTTGTGCATGTCTAAATAAGAAACATTGTGACAGCAGCTTTGAAATGATTCATTTGTTTCGTACCTGCAGGTCCTCAGCGTTGATCAATGGGGTCTGGAAGTTTCTCTACTGCCCTCTCTGGCTGTCTGTGGATGCCACTCCGTGAACCTCCAGTCCACTGAGGACCCCTCTGTCCTGAGCTTTGGTAGCAGTAAAGGGAAGAGGACTCTGCAGGCCGGCTCTCCTCTGGGACTCATGGCTTACCTTTATGCCAGGTGCTGAGATCTGAAATATACCAACAATGTTTGTTCACAGACAGTATTTGATGGAGAACTCCAGATTTTCTTTCATTTTAAAGGGAGTTTGGGCAAAAATACGATATTTTAACACTGTTTTGCACAAATATTCATCCAGTCTCATGACAGCAATGAGTGACACTGAGGGGATAACAGCATTTTTTTTCTTCAAACAAGTAAAAAACAAAGGATGT